CTAGTCAAGAGCTCTATTATCAAGCTACATAGCTACATCCCCAATCTCTCATATTATTTTAATAGATGCTCACAGTGGGGTATTCTTGACATTTTAGAGAGGAAACAGGCGTATAGAGTCCAGTTGTGTAGCTGGTAAATGAAAAAAACAAAATCTAGGCCTTCAGCTCCAAGACCTGTACTCATTCATGTTATTACATTTGATGTTCCCCCCCTTGTTAATATCATAATTCACATACCATAAAATTTACCCCTTATAAAGTATGTAAGTGATTAGTTCTTAGTACATTCACAAGGTGTATAGCTGTCACCCCTGTGTAATCTGACATTTTCATCAACTCAGAGAAAAATCCTGTTGTATCTATTAACATTAAGTTCTGATACTCCTACCCCATTACCCTGCCCGCAACCACTAATATATCTACTTTTTGTCTCTAGATTTGCCTGTTGTAGAAATTTCATACAAATGGAATGGTACAATTTGTGGCTTTTTGTGACAGACTTCTTTAACTTTATGTGATTTTTATTTTCTTTCTATTTTAAAGGCACAGAAGAGGTTTATTTAGCAAAGTAGATACACATTCAAGGAAGAATTGAGGCAATCAAAAGAGATTTACCCCACTGGGTAATGTACCAGTACTTTGGTAATGAAGCAGCACTTTGTTACTTTTTATTGTTATATATAGGGATATATTACAATTTGTTTAGCCATTCATTAATTGATGGGTGTTTGGCTTTTTAACTATTATGACTAAAGCTGCCATGAGCCTTCATGTATACATTTTGAGGTATAATAATTATACTTAGGTATAATAATATTATATATATTATGTATAATATATATAATTATTATACTTAGGTATAATATTATACTTGATGCTAGCCTGGGCAACACAGTAAGACTTCACCTCCAAAAAACAAAAACAAAAACAAGTTAGTGATTTTTCTCAACTAAGCCTTCCAGGTAGCTGCAGTTGTAGGCATTTGCCACTGTAACTACACACCTTCCCCCACCCCTTCTCCTTTTAAATTTCTCTCAATTTATATGCTGTCATTCAGCTCTTGCTTGTCCCCTTCTCACTTTTAAGACAACCCTAGCTTGGAATCTTTAATTTTTGTTGGTTTCTTCTTAATACTTTATAATCAAAAGTTAATAGATCTTTTGACCCCTGCCTTTAAAATTTTCTATTACTCTTTCCTAGGTCACCACTGCAGCTTTCTGATGCCTCTTTCTGGTCAGGTTTATTGTATGTAAGATTAGGTTAATTTTCTCCTTCCATGAGTTTGACTTCCTCTAGCTCAAGGATTCTTTATTGAATTCTGTTTGTCCATGGCCTTTCTATCCATTACTTCTTTCTCTCCTGTATACAGCCCTCACTTTTCAGTTAGATTAAAGAATTCAGGTTCCAATTGTATCTTATTGTGTTCCTCAGCTTGGATCTAAGAATGTTAGTATTGACATTGCAAATCCTGGTCTATGATTCACTAGTTTGGTGACAGGGATTAAGTTATTTGACCTGTGTAAGCATTAGTTGCCTTTGTGTGTGTGTGTGTGTGTGTGTGTGTGTTGCTGGGGATTGAACCCTGGACCTTTTGCATGCAAGGCAAGCACTCTACCAACTGAGCTATATCCCCAGCCCTAGTTGCCTCATTCTTAAAAAGGGCTAATGCCACCTACTTTCTGTATGATTGATAAAATTAATTTAATGTTGCACATTATTATGTTCATTCTACTTGAAGTGGTAACTCTTAATTCTCCTGCCAAAATCCTTCCTATCTTTTGCAAGTTGGGTCCAGTTCAGAATACCTTCCATGTACCTGTTAACATTTTACTTCTTCACCAAACTGGTTGTTAGTGCTTCCTTCTTTGATATCTCATAGAACCCTATGAAAGCATGGGCTGTTTGTTGTGGACATACTGCTAGTCCCTAATATAGTCCTTGATGTGTGGTGGGTGTTCATATTTGTTGAATAAATAAATCTTTTTTTGTGGGGGGGGGGCACCAGGGATTGAATTCAGGGGCATTCAACCACTGAACCACATCCCTAGCCTTATTTTGTATTTTATTTAAAGACAGGGTCTCACTGAGCGGCTTAAGGCCTTTTACTGAGGCTGGCTTTGAACTCGTGATCCTCCTGCCTCATCCTCCCAAGCTGCTCGGATTACAGGTGTCCGACACTGCATCCAGCTATAAATCATTTTTTAAAATACCGTGAGACATTATTGTTAATGTTATGAATTTACATGATTGCCATATGTCAGTATCTTTTTAAAGATATAAGGGAGGCATATATCAGATATAGGAAAACCTTTCATCTGCAGAGTTCTTCATCATGAGTTATTTCTGATCTGATAAATATGCAGAGCTTATCTTTACTCTTAGTATTCTATAGAGCTTTTAAGTCTAATTGATGTATGAATCGGAGGTAACTTTTTTCCCCTTCTAAGCTCATATTGTACAACTAAAGTTGATAGAAATTCTTTTGTGTTGAGAAATAGTTTACTTTTTTGAAAATGGCCCTTAAAATAAAACAAACAAACAAAATACATGGAAATGAGAAAGAGAATGGCTTTTAGGCTTTAATCTACAGTGGATATACTCAGCAGAGAAAGAGAGTAAGTGCTTTTCCAAGACCCCAAAGATAACACCATACAACTACCATCAGAATACCAGTGGACAAGACATAGCCCTGGCCCTCTATGTGCTTCCAGCTATAAGAAGGGAGGTATAGCCAGGCACAGTGGCGTATACTGTAATCCCAATAGCTTGGGAGGCTGAGGTAGGAGGATCACGAGTTCAAAGCCAGCCTCAGCAGAAGTGAGGCGCTGAGCAACTCAGTGAGTCCCTGTCTCTAAATAAAATACAAAAAAGATCAGATGTAGCTCAGTGGTTAAGTGCCCCTGGGTTCACTTCCTGGTACAAAAAAAAAAAGGAGGAGGAGGAGGGAGGCATAATAATCACCTGAAATGCTTATCAATAGAAATTAATAAAACAAAGTATAATTTGTGTAAGTTTCCAGGAAATAATGTAAATAAATTCTTTTTTGTTTTAAAAAATTGCTCTAAAGAGTTATACATGACAGTAGAATGCATTTTGATACATTATTCATAAATGGAGTCTAACTTCTCATTCTTCTGGTTGTACATGATGTAGTACAATTACAATTGTGTAATCATATATGTACATAGGGTCATAATATCTGATTCATTCTATTGTTTCTGTCCCCCTTGTAAATAAATTCTTGAACTCAGGATTGTATATGTTGTATATACTTTTAAAAAAAAATATTTTTTAGTTGTAGTTGGACACAATACCTTTATTTTATTTATTTATTATATGGTGCTGAGGAGGTAGGTAGGCGAGCGTTCTACCGCTGAGCCACAACCCCAGCCCTGTATATTCTTTTTTTAAAAAAAATTTAAAATTTATTCTAATTACTTATACACGACAGTAGAAAACGTTTATGCACTTTGATATATCATACATAAATCGATATAATTTCTCATTTTTCTGATTATACATGTAGAATCACATTGGTTGTGCAGTCATATATGTACATAAAGTAATAATGTCTGTTTTTTTTTTTTTTTTAATAATATCTGTTTTATTCTATTATCGTTCCTACCCACATATCCTTCCTACCTACTTACCCCCTCCTTCCCTTAACTCCTCTCTTTCTAATCTAAAGTAATGATATTCTTCCCCTGATTTTTTAGGTGTAGATGGACACAACACAATGCCTTTATTTTTTTATGTGGTGCTGAGGATTGAACCCGGGTCCTGCCCGTACTAGGCGAGCGCTCTACCGCTGACCCACAATCCCAGCCCTTAACATGATATTCTACAGCTCCATCCCTTTACTGGCAAATGCTATAATTTCATTCTTCCTTAAGGCTGAGTAATATTCCATTTTACGCCCCCCCCCCCTTTTAAAAAATCCATTCATCTCTTGAAGGTCACCTAGGTTGTTTCTATAGTTTAGCTATTGTGAGTTCAGCTTATGCTGGATATTCTTTTTTTTTTTTTTTTTTTTTTTGTGGTGCTGGGGATTGAACCCAGGGCCTTGCGCATGGGAGGCAAAGCACTTTACCAACTGAGCTATATATCCCCAGCCCTGGATATTCTTAACAACTATGATAAAGTCTATTTTATGTTTCAAGCTTAATTTTTAAAATTATAGATGCAATAACCAGTTTATTATAGAACCTGGTTTCATAAGTACAAAATAATATTAAGAGGCAGAATGTAACCTAGTAATAACTCTTAGTTGCCTTTTCACTGCAGTTTTTTCTTTAAAAAAAAAAACACACCACAGATTACATACATTTGGAATTTCATATTTTTCTGCTTAAGATTATATCATAAACCTTTACATTTTTCATATGCTAATATTTTTATAATAGTTGTAGCCTCACCATAATTTACTTAACTAGTTTCTTATTGTTGAGCATTTGACCTATTGTCAGTGTTTTGCTATAAGAGAAATGAAAGAATCAGTGACTGAACTCTGAATTTTCAGATATCAAAGAATATTTGTTAGGAAAGTAGAAATTGGATAGTTGGGATGGTTAGGGAAGTGTGGTGGTATACCTAGTGGTGGTTGTATTTCTGAATTATTCTGTGGATGTGGGTGTAGATTGCATTTGATTAGTGTTTTTTCCTCTCCCCTTCAAATCTTAGTTTTTTTTTTCCACTTCTTTAGTAATAGCTTTTTGAAAAAGCATATTATCATTAGATCAAAGGGAAGAAATATTTTTAAGTCTTTTGATAATAGTGCAAGTCACTTTTTGGATATTTTGCTTTCATTGGTACCACATGAGGGTGCTTGTTTCAATGGTAGTTGTTACTTAAGAAAGAAGAGCAAGCAACAGAAATGACCCCTATACTAAAATCTTGTGTGAAATATAGAGTTTGGACTATTTTTTAAAATATTGATCAGCCCTTCATTTTAATCCCTGCTGAGTTTTTTTTTTTTTTTTGCCCCCATTCTGTAAAACAGGAGATTTGATGAAGAGTGCTGCAGGAGAGTTTGCAGATGATCCCTGCTCTTCTGTGAAGCGAGGCAATATGGTTCGGGCAGCTCGAGCTTTGCTCTCTGCTGTTACCCGGCTGCTGATTTTGGCTGATATGGCAGATGTCTACAAACTACTTGTTCAGCTGAAAGTTGTAAGTATGGGCCTATGTTTGTAATTTGTTCTTTGTGTATCATAGTGAAGCTGATGGTGGCCATTCTTAGTTCATCAGTTCTTAGGTTTTAGTTTGGTTTTGAAGTTTATCTAAATGGACCATGCATGTTTTTGTTTAGTTTATGCTTACTACTTTTTCAAGTATATATGATCTGGGCCCTCCTATGAGCCAGTGTTGTCTTGATTCTAAGGAAGAACTTGTAGCAAAGGTATTGTTTAGACTTCTTTGCAGTACTGATTAAACATTTCCTTGCATTGGTAGAATTGAAAAACTAAGATACATTAAATTGTACACTTTTAGATAGAGACCAATATTACTATATGTCCTTTCTACCTTTTGTAAAGCATCCATGTAATAGGAGGTCCATAGCAGCTCAAGAGATTTAACTTTGAATTGCTTTTGAGTAGTTGTTAAAAGGAATTAAAAAATATTCTCAGATACCATACCATACATATCATTATCAATAGACTTGTAAGTCAGAACTTTTGTTTTTTGGGGTTGTGTTTTATAGGTAGAAGATGGTATCTTGAAACTGAGGAATGCTGGCAATGAACAAGACTTAGGAATACAGTATAAAGCCCTGAAACCTGAAGTTGATAAGCTGAACATTATGGCAGCTAAAAGACAACAGGTACAGTCATTATTTGGGGATATTTTAAAATTGTTTATATTTAGTGAGGAAAAAACCATTTTGCCTACGTTTTCTGATGGTACCATTATCTTGCTCTGCTAATACAGTTTAATTAAAATATTTAATCTAAGGTATCAGTTCAGTATTGTGCTCTTAACAGAAGTATAATTATAATAAAGTTGTATTCATGTTATTCTCTCATTTTAATTTTGTGAAAATTTTAAGTAGTTTATCATTTTTAATGAAGATATATATGGGGAGGTGATTGGCCTTTGTTATATGTGTTCAAGTATTAATGTGAGTTTTAGTAGAATTAGTAGAATTTAGATCTTTAGGAAACCTAAACAAGTTAAAACATATTAAAGTTATCTCTACATCTGAGACCCTCCCTGCTGCATTATCACTTTTAAAGTGGCTCTTATAATCATTACTAGTAGTTTTTGTTGTGTGAGGCATGTGGATCATTATTCTCATTTTTTTCAAGTTCCACAACCTGTTTGGTATTTTTGCTGTTGGGGTCTTTGAAATCCTTCCTCTGTCTTTTCTGTTGGATACTTTGTATTTTAGGTTTGTGTTCTGCAAGGAGGATACATGCATTGCCATCCAGCTCTTTTATAACTCCCTAAGTACTGATGAAACTTACTCTACTTCCCCGCCTCAAGGATGGTGCTAAGGATTGAACCCAGTGCCTTCTGTATTCTAGACAAGTGTTCTACCACCAAGCCACACCCCCTACCCAGCAACTACTTTTCTTATATTAAAACAATCTCTGAGAGGCTGGAGTTGTGGCTCAGAGGTAGAGTGCTTGCCTACCATGTGTGGGGTGCTGGGTTTGCTTCTCAGCACCACGTATATAAATAAGTAAATAAAATAAAGGTCTATCAACAACTAAAACATATTTAAAAGAAAACAATCTCTGAAAGGATGAATTGTTATTATTACCTAATACTCTTATCAGTTAGGATATCTTGTACTGTCTGTACAGGAAACCCAACTCTTAACTCCTTGAATAGAGGAAGTGGGTATTTTTTCACTGACAATAGCCAACAGTAAAATGAATAATTGATAAAGAAAATGTAGTATATACATGGATTAATACTCTCCATCATAAAAAAGAACAAAATAGTGTCATGTGCATAGCATAGTGTTAACAGGAGATCATTATGCTAAGTGAAATACACTAGGCACAGAAAGATGAGTGCTGTATGATTTTACTCATAAACAGAATAAAGAAGAAATAATATGAGGGAAACCCTATTGACTTTAACTTGTTTTTTTTTTTCCTCACTTAAAAATCAACTTTCTTCTAAACCTATTGCTTAGAAACCAAACTTATCGCTTCCACTAAACAATGTTCATAATGAAAGCAGTACTAAAGTTACCATTTGTCTATTTCCTATGCACAAATATACACAAAGTACATATTTTATTAAAAGTTGAAAAATTGTAATCGTTTTATTTTTTTTTAAATACACGGCAGCAGAATGTATTACAATTCTTATTACACATATAGAGCACAATTTTTCATATCTTTGTATAAAGTGGGTTCATGCTGATTCGTGTCTATGTATATATTTGGGTTTTTTTGTATTACAATTCTTATTACACATATATACAACAATTTTTCATATCTCTGTATATAAAGTAGGTTGACACCTAATTCTTGTCTTCATAAATGTACTTTGGATAATGATGTCCACCACATTCCATCATCCTTGCTAATCCCCTACCTCCTCCCTTTCCCTCCCTCCTGTCTTCCCTATCTAGAATTCATCTATTCATCCCATATTCCCCCTCCCTACCTCATTTTGAGTCAGTCTCCTTATATCAGAGAAAACATTTGGCATTTGTTTTTTTGGGACTGGCTAACTTCAGTTAGCATTATCTTCTCCAATGCCATCCATTTACCTGCAAATGCCATGATTTTATTGCTGAGTAAAATTCCATTGTGTATATATGCCACGTTTTTTTTTTTAACCATTCATCACTGAAGGGCATCTAGGTTGTTTCCACAGTTTAGCTATTGTAAATTGTGCTGCTGTAAACATTGATGTGGCTGTGTCCCTGTAGTATGCTATTTTTAAGTCCTTTGGGTATAGTCCGAGGAGAGGAATAGCTGGGTCAAATGGTGGTTCCATTCCCAGATTTCCAAGGAATCTCCATACTGCTTTCCATATTGGCTGCACCAATTTGCAGTCCCACCAACAATGTATGAGTGTACCTTTTTCCCCACATCCTCGCCAACACTTATTGTTGTTTGTCTTCATAATAGCTGACATTCTGACTGGAGTGAGATGATATCTTAGAGTAGTTTTGATTTGCATTTCTCTGATTGCTAGAGATGATGAGCATTTTTTCATATATTTGTTGATTGATTGTATGTCCTCTTCTAAGAAGTATCTGTTCAGCTCCTTGGTCCCTTTATTGATTGGGTTATTTGTTATTTCGGTGCTTAGCTTTTTAAGTTCTTTATATACCCTAGGGATTAGTGCTCTATCTGATGTGTGAGGGGGAAAGATTTGCTCCCAGGATGTAGGTAGGCTCTCTGTTCACCTCACAGATTGTTTTTTTGCTGAGAAAATCTGGACATTTTTTTCAACATGTTATCTTTAGTGTACCTGTTGCTAGATGGGTGTAGATGTTCTAAGTGTGATATTTGCATATATCAATGTGTCCGATGAGAATAAAAGATTTTTTTTATATGTCTCTCTTTGTGCAAACAACCTAGAAGCCCTCATAAACTCACCCTGAATCTGAAATGTGCACATATATACATACCTATGCTGTTTTTTCCTTTGTATATTATGTGTATTATAATTTGTACATAATGGTGGAATTTGTTGTTACACATTCATGCTTGCACACAATATAACAGTATATTTTGGCCTTGATTGTTCCCCCAGCACTTACCCCCTCCTTCCTTGTCTCCCAACCCCAGTTGTTCTCCTCTACTCATCTCCCTTTGATTTTCCTAAGATTCCTACCACCACCTTTTTAAAATCTTTTCCCCCTCTAGTTTCCACATATGAGAGAAAACATATAACCCTTGACCTTATGAGTTTGGCTTATTTCATGTAACATAATGGTCTCTAGTTCCATCTGTTTTTGTGCAAATTACACTTCATTTTTCTTTATGGCTGAATAAAACTCCATTGGGTATATATGTCATGTTTTCTTTATCCATTTATCTGTTGATGAACACCTAAACTAGTTCTCTAGTTTGGCTATTATGAATTGTGATGCTATGATGTATCACTAAAGTATGGTGACTTTAATTCTTAGAATAAGTATTGAGGAATGGTATAGGTGGGTCATATAGTAGTTCCATGCCTAGTCTTTTGAGGAACCTTTACACTGATTTCCATAGTGGTTGTACTAATTTACAATCCCACCACCAGTGTAAAGGTGTTTCTTTTTCTTCATCATTTATTATTGTTTGTATTCTTGATGACTGCTGTTCTGTCAGGTGAGAGATGAAGTCTCAGTGTAGTTTTGATTTACGTTTCCACAATTGCTAATGATGAACATTTTTTCATGATTTTTTTTTTTTTTTGGCCATTTGTATTTCTTCTTTTGAGAAGTGTTTGTTTAATTCGTTTACCCATTTATTAATTGGGTTATTTGAGTTTTTTTGTGTTTAGTTTTTTTTTTTTTAGTTCTTTATATATATTCTAGATATTAATCCTCTGGCAACATGCCCAACAGGCCTATATGTCCCTCAATATCCTGGTTTTTATCATTGTTCACCCTATTTTCTGCCCTGGGATCTACCATGTCTGGATGCATCAATGGGCTCCTTTTGCCCTGTTATTCCTGGTTAGGTTTGGCCAGTGGGAGCATAAGCAGGAGGTTAAAGGAGATAGGAGAGTGAAGTTGGGGTGTTTTTCATAGACCCCCTACCTGCTGGTGGCCCTGGGTAGATCCAAAGTTCCTGGGTTCCTGCACCCTGGATTCTGGTAACTGTTGCTGCTTCATGTCCCTTCAGACTTAAGTGACCTAATAGCCTTGTGGTTTTCCTATACTTCATGTGTATTCCTAGTTCTTTTCTTGTGAATTAAAATTCTGTTCATTTTATCTTAAGGGCCCAGCTTGTTGGAAACTTCACTCTGGATATTTCCATATTCAGCTGCATTTGGATACTATCCGCTAGTTTCCTTCAATAACTGGTCATGTTTTCTCACACTGTGTTTTCTAATAGAATTTTTTTTCTGCTGTATGCTTCCATTGGTCTGTGTTCGCTTGACTTTTTCTTTTCTCCCCAGAAATGTTATGTGATAATTTGCTTCCTAATTGAGCCTTTCATCTTTGTAGGCACTTTGTCCAGGAAAAGGGAGTATTTCCTCAAGACTGTGTGGCTCTCTTAACTGCCCTAGTATCATTTAACAACAGCTACCTATTAAAGAAAACCTCATAAGGTCCACGTGCTTTCTGGAATTTACCTTTTTTGGTTTTGGATATGGCATGGTAGTCATGATGACATTGTTGACAATAATATTAGAATAAAACATTTTGTTAGAGTTATTCATTAGTAACTCTAAGCAAGTGTTTACTATGTGCCAAGCACTGTTATAAGGTATCCCCCCCCCACACCCCTTGCAGTGCTTGGGATTGAAGCTAAGGCCTCATGCATTCTAGGCAAGTGCTCTACCACTGAGCTACATCCTCAGCCCTATTACAAATCCTTTATAAACACAAACTGAATGTAATCTTTTTTTTTTAATATTTATTTATTTATTTTTCGGTGGACACAACATCTTTGTTTGTATGTGGTGCTGAGGATCGAACCCGGGCCGCACGCATGCCAGGCGAGCGCGCTACCACTTGAGCCACATCCCCAGCCCCCATGAATTTAATCTTAAGAAAGTAGTAAATAGGCAGATACTATAATTATTCACATGTTAATTTTTGTAAATGAAGGAACTGTAACACACAGAGGTTCTGTAATCTGGCAAGGTTTTTCACTTAGTAAGTAGTGGATCTAGGATTTGATCCTAAGCTGTCTCACTTAAGAACAGGGATTTTGTCTGTTTTATTGCTCCTAGAATCCCTAGTGCCTAGAACATTGCCTAGACTTAGTATTTCTTCTTTCTTTTTTTTTTTTTAATTGTAGGCATACACAATACCTTTATTTTATTTGTTTATATGGGGTGCTGAGGATTAAACCCAGTGCGTCACACATGCTAGGTGAGCACTGCACTGCTGAACCACAACCCAGGCCCTAGTATTTCTTAATAATTATTTGTTTAACAAATGTATAAACAGACTACTTGCTATACTGCAGATCTATCCTGGAGTGGGATTCTAAGTGTGGCTCTAATTTGTTACTTTCTTGGGCTAAAATATTGTTTGCTAACTAGAAGTGTTGCATTTCTATTAGCCTCTAGGCTCTACTTTGACTGTAAGGGTATCTTAATACATTTTCTGTTGTGTCTGAATACTACATACTGGGTGATTTACAATGAATAGATGTTTATTTAGCTGGTAGTTCTGGGGGCAGAGAAATCCAAGAGCTTGGTCCCAGTTGATTTGCTCAGCATCTACTGAGGGCTTTCTTGATGCATTCTAACATGGAAGAAGGTATCTCTTATCAAGAGAAAGCTTGGATCTCTTTTTCTCTCCTATTAAAACCCTCATGACCTCATTCAATCCTGATTACCTCTCAAAAGCTTCACCTGCAAATAGCATTAACATATGATTTTGGAGATTGTTTTCAACATGTAAACTTTTGGAGGAATACATTCAAACCATAGCAAAGTGTAAAGGTGATGGCAAAGTTCAAATTGAGCTAACATTAACCTTGGTTTCTGTAAGGAGGACCAATGCTGACTCATGCTGTCAACTCTGGGTCTCCAGCATGCTAGGAACTTAGTGTTTTAATGTTCATATTTCATTCACCCATCTAAGGACAACTTATTTGATATTTGGAAGAACGTAATGCCTCTTCTTTCTATAAACTCTGCTTTGCATGGTTATTTTTCCAAAAATTTGAACAGGTATATTATTTTGTACCTGTAAATATGATCTTTTGAATACAAGACGAGATGTGATCAAATATATCTGTGGCTATGATTTTATCTTGTTAAATAGGGAAATAAGAAGAAACTTTCACTTGGGTAGAAATAATATTATACTCTGATGAGAAGATAGCTTCTACTTCCTGGTCATTGAATGGACTGGATTGTTAATTTGAGTTCTTTCCTCTATGTTTTCTGTTTGGCTATTCCTGAGTCGGTTTGAATCATAACTGGATTGGTGAAGTTGAGGAATCATGAAAGCTAAACTAGACCACAGGATTCTAATTTATTTTTTGGGTACCAGAGATTGAAACTCAGGGGCACTCAACCACGGAGCCATATCCCCAGCCCTATTTTGTATTTTATTTAGAGACAGGGTCTCACTGAGTTGATTAGCGCTTTCGTTATTTAGTGACAGGGTCTCGCTGGGTTACTTAGGGCCTCTCAGAGTTGCTGAATTGGCTTTGAACTTGCAGTCCTCCTACCTCATCCTTCCAAGTTGCTGGAATTATAGGTGTGTACCACCACAGCCGGCCCAAGAACCTTTTTTTTTTTTTCCTCTTTGAGTAATTTCCAGTAACAATGGGATACAGAAATGCCTCCTTCTGGTCTTGCTTATTGTCGATATCACTTAACTGTTGCTTTGCATATGTTCTCAGCCTACCCAGTAGATACCATCAATGGTAAGGATGCCAGAAACCTCAGATTCTTTTGTTGGATCAATAATGGGGTACAGGAAATAGAAAAGGATATTTTTCACTTAAGACTATATCTATTCAGAATATTATAATCATGGATTAAAATAATGGAGCATATGAACCTCAACTTTATGATTTAATGACTTGTGTACTGCTGAATTTTATTGGGTAAGGAAAGTTTGGTTCTGTGTTTTAGGGTTCTGTGTCTTGTGTCTTAGTCTTTGGGTTATCAAAGGGGAGAGGAGTTCTGTACTTGTGAGAATAACTGGGTATATCCTCACCTAGGTGGTTTCGCATAGTTCACATATAACTATGTTATTCTGCTTCAGATTTCCCCAAACTCTTCTATTTTTTTTTTAAACATTTACTTTTTAGTTGTAGTTGGACACAATGCCTTTATTTTGTTTACTTATTTTTATGTGGTGCTAAGAATCGAACCCAGGGCTTTGCACATGCTAGGCGAGCACTCTACCGCTGAGCCACAACCCCAGCGCCCCCAAACTCTTCTAATTGACTTGTGTAACTTAACAAATCCTTATTATCTTACTTTGTTTAAATGTGTGTCAAAATGATTTTTATATTTTGGTTTGCTGGAATAGGTACACATATCTATGTATAATTATAATCAAGATGCTGAGTAGTATTATGTTTTTACTGTGCTATGCTAGGTGCTTTACATGCATTATCCCATTTATTCCCCCAAACAACAAAAGAGCTTCTGTTACTGCTCATATTTTACAGAGGGAGAAACTGAGCACAAAGTGTAAAATAAGGTCACAATAGCCAGGAAAAAGTAGACTAGGATATTTAAATCCAGATTTCTGTGATTCTAAAGCCCAAACACAACATATTAACTCATACTGGTTCCTTTGTGCTTAACTTTCAAGTCAGATTGTTAATGAAAATAATTCAAGTTAGATTGTTAATGAAAGTAATGTGTCTGATAGGTAGAACTCTTAACTTTACTGCCTGTACCAGCAAATTTTCATGTGACTCTAACCCACATAAAGAATGCTCCATTTTCTTATTTTACTCTTGTAGGAACTGAAAGATGTGGGCCATCGTGATCAGATGGCCGCAGCTAGAGGAATCCTGCAGAAAAATGTTCCGATCCTCTATACTGCATCCCAGGCATGCCTACAACATCCGGATGTCGCAGCCTATAAGGCCAACCGGGATTTGATATACAAGCAGCTTCAACAGGCAGTCACAGGCATCTCCAATGCAGCCCAATCTACAGCATCAGATGATGCCTCCCAGCATCAGGGTGGAGGAGGAGGAGAATTGGCATATGCTCTCAATAACTTTGATGTAAGTTACACTTGAGAGGAAACTTCAGACTCTCACCAGTATGCAAAAGATGACACTTAGATTTGTGATATAAGTAGAAGAATCATCAGTCTACTTAATCATAACTTGATTTAAAGCATTTATCTTTTTTCTTAGCTTGGATTGGATTTCGGGATTCTTTTTTGCAACAAGTATATTTCCTATGGGGTCATTCTTCTTCTTCTTTTTTTTTTCTTCCTTTTTTTTGGTTCTGAGAAGTAAACCCAAGGGCTACATCTCCAGCTTCCCCTCCCCCCACTTAAAATTTTTTTTTAGTTGTTGATGGACGTTTATTTTATTCATTTATTTATATGCGGTGCTGAGAATCCAACCCAGTGCCTCACACATGCTAGGCAAGTGCTCTGCCAATGAGCTACAACCCCAGACCTCCAGCCCTTTTTATTTTGAGATAAGGTCTCACTAAGTTGCTGAGGGCCTCCCTTACTTATTGAGGAAAGCCTCAAACTTGTGATCCTCCTGCGTCAGCCTCCTCAGTCATTAGGATTAAGGATGTGTTACACTGCACCCGGCTATGAGATCATTCTTTTTTATTTTTTAATTTTCTTTTCAGATGTTGATGGACTTTTATTTTATTCATTTATTTATATGTGGTGCTGAGAATTGAACGAAGTGCCTCACACATGCTAGGCAAGCACTCTATCAATGAGCCCCAGTCCCAAGATCATTCTTTATTGAGGATATGAATCTAGTTCATTTGATCCAAGATTTTGACCTTCTGGAAGATTCATGAAGATATTGGAAATAGAGCAGCAATGTGTGCAGAGGTTTTGTCCCCTAAGAGATCATGGTCTAGTGGGGTATACAGATATATCATAGTGACTGCTGCCATCTTAATCTTATTTGTCTGCCTAGATGTACTTCTCAGTAACTTTAATTTGAATCATGAACATAAAATTTAATCAAGTGGAAGCAGATTTTGAAATTAGCATAATACCACATATTGTGTGTATATACAGCCCTGTGTATATGACATTAACTTCTTTGGTGGGTTTTGTTTTTAATTCCTACCCATACTGCTTCATGGCTTCCAGTAGATGGCAGCAGTTTAAGATTTCTTTTTTTAAAGGGTATTTTGTTTTGTTTTAAACCCAATTGGTGGGGTAATTTTTCTTTTTTTTAAAATTAAGGTAAAGGAAACCAGTGTCCTTTCAGAATAGAAATATTCAGGTTATAGAATCAATACAAGGGGAGTGTATTTTGTTTTTAACATTTTTTTCTTTGCCTTAATGTTTTCTTTGTCTGATCCTTTAGGCTTTGTCTTATCCTTTAGGCTTGTGTAACTGATCCTTGCTGGTGTGCATGGTTGATTTAGGATGGTCTTTTCATGAAGCGTGAAGGCAGTGTTAAGCCTAAAGACCATGATATTAGAATTGAAATTTTACCCTGGACCCTTAAACATGAAATAAAATACCCATTTATAAGGAACTCTTAGGCTGCACCTATAACTTACTGGAACTGTTGTTTTCTCCTCTTCCAGTTTGACAGTATTAGGTATTTATCTCTTTCAAGTTAGTAGGGGTCACATTTTACCCTAAATTATTAAGTAATATCTGTAATATAATAGCAGAAACCACTTAATTTCTTAGAATCACCGTTTCTTCATTTGTAAATGAGGGTTTGTCCTAAATGATCTGAGGCTCATTGTGGCTCCACGATTGTATTACAATTCTATGATCATCCATTCTTCATTTCTATTGGCCAGAAAGTATTTTGTATTCAGTTTTTAATCAGAGAAATCCTGTTATGCAAATTTGGTAAGAAAAATGGTTAAGTAAAATGTGTGGATTAATAATAAATTTAAAGTATTACATGTTCAATTTTAAAACTGAGGTTTCTTTGGAAGGAAAGGAAAAAATATTTACTCATTTGAAAACATCAAGCTTTTTGTAGGAAAAAAATTGGCATTTAAATTGAAATTAATAAGGACATAATCCTTATAAAGAAAAATTAAACCCAAAGTAATTTGCACAGATGGTTACCATTGTGAGTGTAAATTGTATCAAGTGGGGACATAGATGATCGAACTTGCACCTGTAGCTTACTTGTATTTAGACCACACTCACTGGCAAAACTGTGTTTAAGTGGAGTCAGGAGGGAAGGGGAGATGACAACAATTTGTTTTTAGTGGAGCAATTATACTTCTTGCTATCTTAGTGTACTTGTGGTCTTTGAGGAGGAAAGTTTCTAATTTAGACACAATAGGATACATTTGAGACCAAATTGTTTATAAATCTTGATTAGATGTATAAGGAGAGAAGTAGATGGAAATTAATTTTAATAAATGCATTTCTTTCTGAAATTTTGGTGACAGAAGTAAATTTTGTTTTTATTTTTAAATATTTTTGTGTAGAACAATTTTGCTACTCATGTAGCAGTTTTATACTTTGAATGTAAGAAAGATAAATTATTTTCCTTATAATTCTTATTTGATAATATGAATTACTAATACAGACTGACCTATAGCTGTTTAGAAAAAGTAGTGTGGACATGATACAGTTGTATTTGCATTTGTGGTATACCTTACCCAGACTGCTTGGCTGGATAGTGCCTTTTTTGAAAAGTGATTTATTATAGACCAACTTATAGGATGGCCCTTTAGCTACCAAGAAGAATAACTTTCTATTAGGTATTAGAATTAAATCTTGATATTCCTAAACACTTTCCCTTACCTTGAATGATAAAGGGAACAGAGATGAGCATTCATATTCAATAATACTTTCTTGACAGAAACAAATCATAGTGGACCCCTTGAGCTTCAGTGAAGAGCGCTTTAGGCCTTCCTTGGAGGAGCGCCTGGAAAGCATCATTAGTGGAGCTGCCCTGATGGCTGACTCGTCCTGCACACGTGATGACCGTCGTGAGCGGATCGTGGCAGAGTGCAATGCTGTCCGCCAGGCCCTGCAGGACCTGCTCTCAGAGTACATGGGCAATGTGAGTGTCAGAATCTTTCTTTAAAGTAAGATAGTTGTATCTCAGGAATTTTCTATAACATGGTGAATATGAGATGTATTAACTATTAATTTCAAATATTCCTTTTTTTGGGGATGGGTGAGATTTTTCAAGGAGTGGCTAAATAATTTTCTAAGTCACCCTTTCCTCCCCATAGTTTTATATGGAAAAATTTATACTTAAAGAAATCATATAGTGAGTACCTATATATCCTTTATCTAGATTCACCAATTAATGTGTAGGCCATTTGCTTGTGTGTATAAAACAAATACACCCTTGTTTTCTCTGAAACATTTGGAAGTAACTTGCATACATTGATTTTCCACCTCCACCCATTTCAGCATGAATTTTCTAAGGATAATGACCTTCTATACCACTAAAATTTCCTTATTGTAACTCGATGGTCAGATAAGTTTGGGCAAGAGGAAATGGTGAAAATCCATTTCTTAAATGTTTGTGGTTTATGAAACTTTTTTCATGAACCATATAGAATTCTGTAAGCATGCATAATTTTTAAAATAGAGCCATATGAGGCAGACTGGGTAATGTTTTTGAATTTTTAAGGTTTGTAATTAAAAACAGTGCTGTGAAATTTGACACTTGATTTTTTTTTTTTGCCATAGAATATATTGTACTTGTTGGTTTTTCTCTGTTATCCTGTCTTTCTTTTTCCTTCTCACATATTTTTGTCTTCCAGTTCAGTTATTTAATGTTAACTTAAGGCACTGTAGTTTAGATCAAGTACCCAATAATTTGCTGATATAAGGAAGGAATAAGTTAAATAAAAATTATATAAAATTATTCAAAAACATTTTTTGGTACTGGGAATTTACCCCAGGGGTACTTTACTATTGAGCCACATCCCCAGCTCTTTTTATTTTTCATTTTGAGAAAGGGTCTCACTAAATTGCTTGCCGAATTGCTGAAGCTGGCCTCAAGCTTGTGATCCTCCTGTCTCAGCCTTCTGAGTTGCTGGGATTACAGGTGTGTGCCACATCTGGTTATAAAAAGTTATCTTAAAGAGAAAATGGAAAATGCAAGTTAGCTGTCATCACTACAGGTTTTGTTTTGCCTATTTATAACTCTTTGGAGAAAGACCTTGATCCTTTTTTCATTTGTTCATTTGGAATACTTCTTGTTTGAATGGGTAATGTTGAGTCATGATGGAATTCCTAGGGTGAAGATGAATGCCTTCCTGTGTTTATTCTGTTTCTACTGTATTGTGAAATTAGTGAAGTGTATTGAATCATTTTAAATCATTGCTATGTTTCGATCATAGAGATTTAGTAGATAAAAGGGAAAAAGTGATAAGTCATTGGAAATGTAGGGCACATTTAAAAATCCATATTAATGCTTGAAAATTAGAAAATATGAAAAAATGATGGGTTGAAGAATGGCTTACAGTTGATGGAGTCATAAATGGGAGAGCAAGGACTCATAGTATATATATGGATCAGTAATCTGTTGTTCTGCGTAATGCTGGAAGTGGTGCAGAAGTGCCCAATACAGTTATGATTAGGAAACTGCTTTGAAAAACAACCTTTGGTGAGGAAGAGGATGTGGTAAATCTGCAGAGCTTCCTAACCCGTCTATAAGACTAGTACTGGGGTTGCTCAGGCTCTCTGGCCATTTACTCCATTCATGAGTAACTTTCTGGCTTTTCCCTAGAATGTCATACAAATCCCTGTAGTACTTTGTCTTCATACTATAAATGTAGGAAAAGTTGTGGAATACTAATTTATACTGAAAACATGGAGCCTCTAATATAGCACTCTTTTTTTTTTTTTTTTTTTAAATAAAGATGGACACAATATCTTTGTTTTATTTATTTTTTACATGGTGCTGAGATCGAACCCAGTACCTCACAAGTACGAGGCAAGCGCTCTACCGCTGAGCTATAACCCCAGCCCCTAATTAATATAGTACTCTTAAGCAAAAAAAAAATTGAACCATGCTTGATGGTTGTATCTTATTGAAATATAAGTACTGTGGAGGATGTCTTGAAAGAAATTTTCTTGAGATTCAGAAATGTATTTTAGAAGTTGGTTTCCAGTTATGTTTCTCTAATGGTAAGAATCTTTACTTTCCTTTTTATTTATTTATGTAAAATGAAGAAACTTCAGTCTTCCAAGAAGCAATGGAGTGAGGATAAAAGGGGAAGGCAATGATATTCACTCAGAAGAGAGCTTAGAGTGGTAAAAGGGTCTGAAGAAACAGAAGCAACTGAGGATAGATTTTTTGCTTATTTGTGAAGCATTTAGAAACAGACTCTCTAGTGACAATCAGAACATAACTGGCCATCTCTGCCTGTAACTCAGTTCACATACTCAATGTGAAACACATGCAAAGCAGTGTACTCAGTAAAAGCATGCTTAATGAGCTCATGCTGACTTGTTCATTATGGGGATCTATGTAGACCAAGTGATAAAGTCTAGAAAGGCTGACCTATTTGCACTGTTTCATTCTTTGGATTCTCTCATTAATATCATTTTTATAGACATATTCTTGTCATAATCTCTTGAGTTTTTGTTTTTCCTTCTGTTGTATCAGTTACCAAGTTCCACTAGTTTTTCTTATGAGGCAGTGATGCACATTAGAATTCCAGGGGAACCTTAAAAATCCTGATGTCTGGGGGCTGGGGATAAAGCTCAGTTGGTAGAGTGCTTGCCTTGCATGCCTAAGGCTCTGGGTTCAATCCCCAACGCCGCCAACAACAATAAAAAAAAATCCTGATGTCTGGGTTATACCCCAGACCAACGAATTCAGAATCTCTGGATCAGGGTCCAGATATAACAGCATTTCAAAAGCTTTCAGGTGACTCCATTTTGTAACTGAGGTAGAGAAGCTGCTCTGTTTATTCTATTTGTTTATTTCTATCCATTACCATTGCCTTACTTGAAGATTTCCTCACTTTCTCTGTTTCCCTCCCTCATTTGGCCTGCTTAGGCTAAGCCAAGCTCATGTCTTCAGTAGGACATTGTTCATTGTATTCTTGAGATTCCCTTTCTTCCTGTTTAATTCTAATCTGCTCTTCCTCGAATTCCCACATTTCCTCCCATCTCTTGTCATTTCAAATTGAACCATCTTACATTATTTCTTTGGTGCTTGAAGTTTTGTACCTAATTATGTACTTCCTTGAACTTTCTCTTAATTATATTTCCTTTTCCCATGTTATTTCTGCAAAAAGGTTTTAAGCTATTGGAAGACTGAAATCTAAAATTATACTTTCATGGTTAGTATAATTCTAGAAGAGGTACTCAGTAAAAGCATGCTTAATGAACTCATGCTGACTTGGGAAAGTGAATAAAATGAACAATTTTGGATATTCACAGTGCTCAGGATACCATATTGGAAGAAAAAGCTAACGATCTTGCCCTTATGGGCTTTGCATTCTAGGAGGGTGGCAAGGATCTGAGTAGTTTACTTCAATTTCCATAATCTTTTATTATACAGATGGTATTTTTAGAAAAAAAAAATTAAATAATCTGAAATAGCAATTAGTGAATGAGATAGCTTAGATCAGGTTGGAGTAAAATTTTAATTCCTCAAGTGAAGATCAGATTTCTTTACAAAGGCTCCAAAGGGTCAGGAGACCAGAGCATTAATGTTTCCATTGGTATTATGGTTTGAAGAGTTGAAGGGTAGTTAGGTAGTTTTGACTCCGTAGCTAACTAACTGTGTAGGCCCTAAGTGATATTAACGTAAAGTTAATACATTTAACTTTAGTTAATACATTTAACTGTGGTCTAAACTTAACATAATAGAAATTTCACCCTTTAGTGGGTGAATTCTTGTAGTTTTATAAATGATAATCTAGTTTCCTTGAAATGAAATTTGGTTATTGTGGTCAAGTTTAATTTGCTTCTGGTCTATCAGCCTAAAGTTGCTCTAGGTTTGAGATTTCTAGAGAAGGAAAAGCATTTTTGGATGTATGTCATAGTCTTAAAAGGCTTAAAAGTGAAACAGATTGAAATTAAAATGAAATGTAATTAAATTTAAAAATAGTTGTTATCGTTTTATTCCATATAGAAGCCTAAAATATTTATTAAACCAGGGTTTACAGTTTACTGTCATGTTAAGGAGTTAAAATTTCTTTTCTTTGAATATGTAGCTGATTAGTAGTTGCCCAGTTGTGTGTTGAAATGTTCTCTGGAGTTATTTCAATGCCTGTGAAAAACCTTCTGAAGGGTCTTACACTTTATACAGCTGAATTCTTTATCTAATAGTTGTCCTTGTGCTAAAGGGGATGTTGACCTTGCTATGTTCCTTTCTCCCTTTTTAGGGTATGTTTTTCTAATAGTAGAACTTATTGAACCAAGTTTGTTCCTGTTATTATACCCTTTAATTCCTGACTCCTCTCAAAACAAATGCTTCCTCCACTGATCTGAAAATGCTTAACACAATGTCTGAAACATAAAGGACCCTTGATCTTTGAAATGAATTCCGTTTGGTTTTGACATCATCAATCTTGCTACCAGTTTTGGTAATGTGACTGGCTGGAGAGTTAGGACTTACAATTGGTGAGAACAAGCACACTCGGTAGACTTAAATAGCTCTAGCTCTGTGCTATTCAGTATGTTAACCATTAGTCCAATTTGGCTATTGAGCACTTGAAATCTGTTGAGTCCAGGTTGAGATGTGCTGTGAGTATAAACTATACACTAGATTTCAAAGACTTAGTATCCAAGAGAATGTAAATATCTCATTGATAATATTTAAGATATATTGGATTAAATAAAAACTTAATCTTCCTATATTTTTATTATAGTTAATAAAAAGTTAAGATTGTTTACATGGCTTATTTTTCTGGCTTACATTATATTTTTGTTGGCTAGTTCTAAGTATTGAATAACCAACCAGCTAAGGTGAGTAGATGAGTTTAGCATCAACTTCTTCATTGAATGTCCAGAGTGGTATGGGAATCCTTGCATAGTAGCCATTATAGCTTGTATTTCTTTATTCTTAAAATTGTAGTATAGGCA